CGACAACTGAATGTTGGTTAATACCTAAGTGATTGTAGAAACGTGTAGGGTTTAGTGATTTACGTAAGTTCAAGCTACCAAAATATCGTTGACGTCACGTAGCCGTTCGATCGAAGTCCTATCCAAAATGGGTATTCACGTATCACTTGAACGAAAGTTGATATGAATAGGATCGAAACGTAACGACCAATGAACGACATCTTGGATTGTGAAATTTGACGTTTACTCGTCGAAAGTCCATTGAACGAACTGTCAAAATTTTAGCAGAATACGTATGATTTGTCGTTTAGAATCCTTTTAAATTCGATTCATATATCAGAATACGCTTTAACGAAATTTGGATCGAACGACTTTAAAATTGGACTCGTTGAAGTTCGATTGTCACACGTGAATATGAAAAAGTAGTTCAACGACTAAATCACTACGATATCGTAATGGTTTGAATACGTGGATCGCACTACTCGCCCAACAGCGAAATACGTAGATCACATCGTTGAAGTCGTCCGCAAAAAGTCTATTAGTAGCATAAACTACCGAAAAACAGCAATAAGTGAATTCAGGATTAATAATGATGATGAATCTGTTCTTACAGATGGAAACCAAAGTCCTGATTACAGGGAAGCAGTACTCAGTCATTAGTAGTGGGGTGCACGAAAGGAGCCTCACAAATGATGTACCAATCGTACTTCCAGCATGTCTGACGCACCCTAGGAAACAATCTTACGCCGATTGCCAAATCCTTTGACCAGGATGGCAAACATATCCCATGTACAGTTCAGCATGGCAGCTACTTGTGGCGTGGTCGGCTTGGCTAAGTAGCAGTAGAGCTCCTAGTGAAAGAGTTTGTCCAGGGAAGTACTGCCACCTAATCTCTTTCTGCCGCCAAGCAGTAATGTGAGCATTAATGTGGTGGTGGTTTGGAAGGGTGAGATTGGCTGGTGACATTATAGGCACATGGGACTTGTCAACTTATATCTCAGGGTGACTGGCGCGTTAGCAGTGCCTCTCAGATCTATGTGATTAAAGCTCTAAGTGGCATTACAGCTGCTATGGATAGGCGTGTCATTAACCACCAGGCGCATGACTTGTTCAACCCGTCACTTGGTTTCATAAAAAAAAATCCGGGCCCTGATAATAAATAGTGTATGCCATCGATATGATAACAAAAAGTGACTAGCCTTCAAGACGAGAGCGAATAGGCATTATTTAGGCGTGCATGCTTCTACGTCGGCCTCATCGTCACAATACATTTTTGACAATAAAAAAATAAATAACAAAACTACCATTTACTCCAAACACGGGCTTGGAGTTTATATTGGTCTAAAAGTAGATTTAAACACACCTGCAATTGTGGTAATTATCAGTGTGCCTGAATCCATAATTGTAGTAAATGACATACTAAATGTATCTTTCAAAATGTATCCAGAGCGGCAAGATAATAACCAATGTTACTAACACAAATCTATCTACGCCAGCAGCTGTTGTTTTAATTAATTCTTAGGTAATGCTTTGGTCGTATCGTGGAATTTTGAGTACAGCAAATGTTGAAGTTATAAAATTATTGGTTAATAGGTACGAGGTATGTAATTTTTATGTGCATAACTTTGGTGGGTATGTAATGTTTTTATTGAATTCTTATCGTTTACAAAACGAAGTGCCTAAACTTGAGATGGACACATGTTATTGCTTGGGATTTAATTTTGGACTTCAAAATGTTTAATAACATATTACAGAGATTTTATAACAGAGTTATCAATCCGTTCTGTTATTCTAATCTACAACCTACAACTTAGTCTTAAGGAATAAGATAATTTGACTGTCAGCAGTAACATGGCTTGTTGTACACGTGTTTGTATTTGGTTTATACGCGTAACAAAGTGTGTTTCATTCCACAACTATGTGATTTCAGTGCCGATAATTATAGTTCTCAGTAATAGGTATATCGTTTATTTCTAATGCGTATACGCATGGTGTTCAATACAAGTAACGGGAACCAATCGGTTCCGCCGTAAAGAAAATTACTTCCTTTACTTTTCCTCTGGCACCTATTTTCCCTACGTTCACATAATTCTTATCGTTGAATGTACTTTATGTGTAGACAGGCTCTTGGGCTGCAAGTTTTCAGCTGGAAGTATTTGAAATTGTTTAATTTTGCATTGCAATTTTAGCCCTTCTTGCTTTCTCTTTTCACGACCTCGGTGGATGAGTGACTTGTACGCCGATTTTCATGGTGTCACCATCTCTGAGGTCCTGGGTTCGATCCCCGATCGAGTCAATGTATAAAACTAACTCTTCTGTATTGTCTCAGGTCTGAGTATTTATGATACCTAACGTCGTTTCCGATTTCTATAACGCAAGTGCTATAGTTGTTAACTCTCTGGGATCAGAGCAATCACATCACATAGATAGAGCATCACATAGATGTTGTCTAGTATTTATTTATTTATTCTCTGTTAAACTTTCTCTGCTTCTAGGGAGAAGGTGTTTGCACCTTTTTTGTCCAACATGCTGATTTGATGTAGTTTGGGATCTTAGCGAAGCAGTTCGACAAATCTCGTGACCCTCAAACATAGCTTCATATCGAGTTCTTAGAATAGCTTCATAGTCATTATTTTATTATACGTTCCACGGCTAGGCACTGGTCTCTTCTACGGAGAGGGTTTATGGGGATTTCACACATTTTCCAAGGGTTGTGAACCTATTTTCACATGCAGGTATCCATCGCTGTTACTAAACCGCCGCTTTCTGTTTGAAAATGGTTTCACCATAATGTTTTTCTTTACTATGAAAGCAAAAAATAATTCGTCAACTCATCTGTACGAAAAGACTATTGTCTTGCAAGCCTTTAGCAAGACAATAGCTTGTCTTTTAGGAATTAGACTCTGGCCGTCTAAATGCGACGTAAACGTTTTCCAAGCTGGGCTACTGCAGCTACTTATTTACCTAATACAAATATAACAACTAAATTGAAATTTAGAAAACCCGAGATACAAAACTGTGTACATCAAAAAGTAAAAAAAGTCACTATCTACAAGCTAACAACTCGTCGAAACCAACAATTAATAATGAGCCCAAACACGTTAATTCTACTACTATAAGTAATCAAGGAGTTGGGTAGTCCACAAACTATTCTGGTTACAGCATCAGATCAAAGTTACCAGGTAATAACGTCGGATTTCTTCTTTGTCTTTTTTTGTATTATTTTGTATTTGTGTGCAATAAAGAATATTTGTATTGTATTGATTTCCATACTACATTAAAATTTCAAGTCGATCAAACAAGTGGAAGTAAACATATATTCATTTTATAACTAAGACCTACACTAAGTGCAAAAAGAGCTAATGATCTTTAAACAGCTGAATTGATATTCAAACATAACTAAGAACCATCCGGACTAAATTAACCTAAAAAATGAGGAACCTCTTTCAGGTCAGTTTATCTCTTTGAGAACTACAATGCCGCAGGCAGATTTACACTGCCATCTTACTGCTGTTAAGCAGTAATGTGAGCATTACTGCGTTCCGGTTTAGAAGGGTAAGGGTGCTGTTGAAAGTACAGGCAAATGGGACTTGTCAACTTACGCCTCAGGGTGACGGGCGCAGTGGGAGTATCTCTAAGATCTTTGCGATTTAAAGCTCTGAGTGGTACTGCAACTTGTTTGTCCCGTCACATATGTCATATACACAGACAAAATTCCCTCTTTCCTCTGTTTAAAAATCATCACACAGATATGTCAAAGATACAGGATCCATGGACTGTACTTACGGATGCTATTTTGGGTATAACTAATTTTCTTATTTTCTTTACGTCATATTTAAATATGCATCATTGAGTCATCTCAATGGGAATTAGCAGCACTTCGTGCCGTAAAACTGAACTAGATGCTAAACGTGACGTGGTAAAGGCCCGTCCACCCTCCGTCATTAATTATAATTATGTTGACGGTGTACTCACGTGCGCTCAATTTACGACGACGAGGGTCCGCCGCGAAGATTGACTACATTAGTCATCTTCGAGCGCACCAGCGCCAACCTAACTAAGAGTCGGAGTGGTCCCGATGACCGAACAAGGTCGAATAGATACGAGTAGATAGACAGATTTAAATAACTGCCCGAATATAAAATCATAACAACCATATTACAATCAGCAACAATAACCTCGTATAACGCCTAAGTAAATTCCAAACAATTTCCATTTGAAACATTCTTTATTTTATGTTAACTTTAACTTTTCAATAACACAGCGTAATGACCCCTTGTTGGGTGACGTAGCAAATAAAAACATCGTAAAACCCTTCCACGCAATTCGAGTTATTTAATATTGACTTTTTAATGAAATAATTCTTTAAAGGCCCATAGTTTACTTACATACCACTACGTTAGTTACGGGACTTTAAGTAATAGTGTATCCCAAGGCAAGAAATGTCCCGTGTTATTTGTGTTATATGCAAGGAAATATAGAGACTTTGTTAGCAGTCATAAGTTTACGGTAATAAACTTCATGATTTACGCCCAAGAAACGAAGAAAAATACCATATTATCTTCTCACATTGTAGCCAAATTTATTTCAATAATGTTATTAAAAAATTAGAAGGTAGTTTGCTTTACAATTTTACTGCTTCTTGTTCTATTCATTTTCCATTCGTTTGACTTAACAAAGATAAATTTGAAGTGACACAGCAGTATTTTACAATTTTATTATAAAAAAGACCAAAGGAATAACGTAACCGTATTAATATTAGGCATTGACTATAATCTAAGTTTATATCCAATTCGACAATGACCAGACAAATAACGTTTTAGGCAAAAAAGTGGATGGTTTCCAATGATTCTCAAAGCATATTGGGTTACAATCAAGAAGATAAAAGAAGCCCAAACCATAATCGACACCGTCGAGTGAATAAGTTATGTTATCAAATAGAAGAATTCGTTTCAAGAATGTATAACTGTAATTTTGAAAACGAGAGCGATGTTGTCCATAATAGATAAGAGGAGACTTACCCAAAAAGCTGAGACTGGCGATCCAGCTAGCCTGCTGGTCATCGACTGTGAAGGAACCGTTGCTAGGTTTTGAGTCCTGCATGGAGGCGATGGCCGGGGACATGTAGCCCTTGCTCAGCCCCGCCGCGAACGGACCAAGAGACACAGCCAAGGCTGCTAGGATCTGTGAATGAAGACCAATATAATTAGGGATGTATAAAATATTAACAACTGCAGAAGTAATGGTTCCAGGTAACCTATTATTTTATTTGCAGTAAGAACTGGAGCTTGGCTAATTGCTTTAGCTTTTCCTGGCTTGATTGCATGTGCACAGCAGGAAATGATATTAGCGTCATAAGAGTCGCAATTTCAACACGTAGTAACAATGTTTTAGAACAAGACCACTTTAAGCCGAGATTGGGGAGGACACCAATTTGCACGAGATGTTTTCATCATTCAGTCTACCGATATAGGTGTCAAGTACTGCATTTGTGTTGGAGACGATCATACTCTCAGCTGTAGCGTAACATGAGAAATTGCGATCATAATTTTTAATAGAAAATTAACATGTCTATGTATTCATTTTGCTTATTATTTGTAATTAGGAGATTTGGGCACGTGAAGCGGATGAATGAAAGTAGAGTGACTAAAAAGTTATCTTGCCATCGTGATGAAAGGATTTGCCAGTCGCCGTAAAGTATTCGCCGATTGTTGGCCAGAGAGCACCAGATATACAGGAATAAATAATAGTACGTCAGGCGAGGGGGAGACATATATAGCCAACGTCGAAGACAACGGAAGAATCAAAAACAAAAACTTTCTTAAAAAGTCTGTTAAAAGTAGTTAAAAGGATAAGAGGGCTTGTATGAAAATATTGATGAATGTCAAAGAGCAAAAGATGGGATTATAGCTATTGATAGTCCTTGTCAATGGAAATCCAAAGCCATGAGTATATATATATGCAAGTCTTGTATTTTCATCGCCAAACTTTATAAATAGAAAACCAATCAAAATTCAGTAGAAATTTATGATTGGAATCCGTACAAAGTTGTTCAATTCACGAGTTCATTCTATTCGCTTCAGAAAAATCCCGATTCTTTTACTTTCAATGTTATTTTCATAGAATAATGTATAAAAAAATATACAATATGGAACAGTAGTAAGAGACCGTTATGGTGTGAAACATTTTTTTTTTTAATATATAATAGACACACGCTTGGCCACAATCTCACCTGATGTTAAGCGACGATGTGACCGACGATGGGACGCGTTTGCCTAAAAAATGCCTATTCACTCTAGCCTTGAATAGCCCCAAATTGTACTTTTCGGGAAATACAGATGCCGGTAGAGCATTCCATTCCTTTGCCGTACGCATTAGAAAGGAGGAGGCAAAGCGCTTAGTGCGAATAGGTGGAATATCAACGACATAAGAATGGAGTGCTCCGGACCTTCTAGTCGACCGAAGGAGGAACGGTGAGGGCGGAACCAAATTGAAAAGTTCACATGATAATATAGTGACCAAGATAGAAAAGGGGACGCTTCGATAGTGTCATCATGTGGAAAGAATGGATGTTAGTAAATTAAGAACACAAAATAGACCAAAATTAAATGTAGATGGAAATTGAATATTTATGAAGAAACTGGGTTAAAACTATCAAGAATAAACGAGAATGTATGACTGATGGAGTGAAGGAGGCGAGTTTAGGAGCGCGGTTTTAGGTTCTAAATCTCGACCTACTTCAGTGGGAGACAGGCGTGATAGTACGTGTGATATTAAATTTTAGTTTGTCACCCACCACAATGGCTATAATAATACATATACCTTTCTGGAGATATAGAAGCTGATAGTGTATTTCATTCCTTTGCCGTACTCATTAGGAAGGAGTGCTAATGGGTGGTATATCAACGACGACATAAGGAAGAAATGTTCTTGACTGTCTAGTAGACTAAAGACAGAAAGGTGAGGGTGGAACTGAATTTGAAATTTCTGCTCATACTCTCCGAAATATATTTAATGGAAAGCCGACCGATTTTATAAACTTTCACCGGTATGCGGATCATACTTTCCTTCGGGGATATAACAAGTGATAATCAACAATCTAAACTGAACACGATTGAAAAACTGACTCAGCAGTGTAACCCTTTTATAATTAACGCACACACTCATAGACTCGCACTAATAACAAATATTTCCCTCGGCCCGGGAATCGAACCCGGGACCTCTGCGTGGCAGATCACCATGTTCGGCCACTGAAGCAGTTCATGTTTATAACAATAATAATTGAACTTAGATCTCGTAGGTCTCTACATAGAAGGTCAGTCCAAAAACTGAACAGTATAGTTTATGAATTATGCTGTCGGTTTCTGCTACAACTTTTCATCAATTGCTACAATACCAATGTCATCAATCAATCATACTTCTCCTTCCTGGACACTGATGTCCTCTAAGGAGAATGGCTTAGGCCGTGATCATCCACACTGGATCAGGACTTCACAGTTTTCTAAAAGTCGTAAAGTATCTTTGCCATGAAGGTATCATCAGACTCTACTAAACGGTCACAAATGAATGTAAGTTTAAAATTAAAGTTATAGTTGTATGCCTCATACTACCCATCTCTCTAACTAACTTTTTTTTGATTGAGCTATCACCTCTCAGCTATAAATTCGAAAGAAAATGTGGTAAAACATGTGTATCGGACAAGGTTCAGATTACTTTCTTGCAAAGATAATTTGCATTAATCAGCGAGTTAAACCAACCTATATAGAGACCGACCATCATCAGGAATGCGTATGAATCTAAACCTTTGGTTTAATATAAGTTACAAATCAACATAAATAAAATTTTCAAAATCAAACCATATGGACACAAAACAACATTAAACTAATAGAAACTCTATAAACCCGACTTTAAACCTATAAACGTGAATGAATATAGTGCATCAAAATAGTACAAAGACACACGAGCACGGGGCGGCGAATCGATCAATGTTGCCAGCTTCAGTGGACTAATGACGGGGCTATATCGATAATATTTTTTATCGATTTCGTATTCTTTTTACATGTTTCACCAACTTTTTTTTTATTACTTTTGAGTTTGAGGACAATCATTTTTAAAAAGCAGCAATAAACCTAAAAAATTTTCAAGTATAATTCAAAATTCCCCAAATGGTATACCATGATAACTGAAAACAAACCATTAAATTATACACACATAACAAATAAGTGGAAAGTGTCTTTCAAAAAGACGTGCTAGCCTAATGGTTTGACCTACAGCCTCTCAAGCAAAAGCCGTGAGTTCGAATCCGGGCTCGCACCTCTGAAAATTAATTTGAAATTCACTATGAGCTTTTCGGTGAAGGAAAATATCGTGATGAAGGTTCACAACCCTCGGAAAACGTGTGAAGTCCTCAACCTGTATTGGACTCACACGGATGGCTACGGCCGAAACCCCCGTCTAAGAGGAGACCCGTTCCCAACAGTGGGACGTATAAATGAGTTGATGATATGAGTGTATGTATGTAAGTCTTAAAACCAAGCTTAGAATTATATTGTCAAAATACGACATAATCTTATTAAATGCCTGCTACAAAATACAATGAGGCTATTGGCACATTTCCAAAATTATTTAATGAGTTATTAAAGTGAAATGTTAACAGCATAATAATAAAGGAAATAGTTTTTTTGTTAGCCAACATTTCCTGTATTATTTCGTAAAGCGTACCTATAGTAATTTGCTATATTCACGAGTAAAAGTTGAAGTAAACATTTTGATATTAATAAGCTTGACTTTTGTAAACACGAGTTTATCTAATTTTCGATACTCGCATCGTATTACCAACAATTATCGGCACATCACTAGTCGCTTTATCTGAAAGCGTTCAAATCGGACTCGTTTCGGGGGTCAACGACCGGCACACTGACTCAGATATTGTGATAGAGTTGGGATAAAGACAATTATTTCGTATCATTAACAAGTCATTAGTAACAGTTTGGTATCAAAACTAGAGCGCAAATAATGTAAGAAATATGTCTAATATTTTTTTCAGAATTATACAGAATATTTTTTTACAAACGAAATATAAAGCCATTTGAAAAATGTTTAGCATTTACTTATGTATTTCATTTAATAATATGGTGGTTTTCTTGTAAAATTTCAACGTAAGTTTGTGTTTTGTCTATTGTGAAAATTTTTAGAAATACGTATTTTCACATTGAATAGTAATTAGTGTGTGTCCTCAATTTTGCTACATATTTATCGAGTTCTTAGGTTTTCGCGATTGTTATACATAGGAATAAAACTATTTTTACTTTACAGGTCCCATGGTCACGGTTGACAGTCAACCGTGACCATGGGACCTGTAAAGGGCCCGAAACGTCGGTTTGTTTGAAAAAACAAATATACGCGATTTAAATCCGGAAAAATAGTTTTATTCCTTTGCTACATATTCTTTCCAATGTGATTGATTCAACATTTTCACAGTTATGCGGCATCAACCAACGCCATTTGAGGTTGTGTAGACACATAAGGCTTGACGAAAAACGACTGATTTACAAGTTAACATTGTTGCTTGTGTGTATGTTTATTATTTTATAACTTTAGTGGTTAGCACTGTGGGACTAGACGAGTTTTGCCAGGTTCGATTTCCTATAACACAAATATTTCTTCATTTACTATGGTCTGATATATAGAGTAACGTCCCCGAGGTCAATGTCGTTAGTCTAGTAAGTACTCTACGAGCATAGTACAGAGCATTCCCTTGGAGTCAGGAAATTGGTATCATTATCTCGCACATTGTTATCTTTATCATCTGTTGGTGACGCCATAGCTCGCGAATATAATATACACTGAATTAAAGGTGTTTTTGCAACATATGAGTATATATTTGATAATTTTAGTTTAAAAAATCAAGACCGCTAACACGAGTTTAACGTACTCAGTGCGCTATATTTTTTTGGGATGTCAAGTGACGGGGCAAACAAGTCTTGCGCCTGGTGGTACACGCCAGTCTATAACACGTGCAGCGCCGTTCTGAACTTTAAATCGCAAAGCTCTGAGTGGCACTGCCACAGCGCCTGTTGGCCTGAGACATAAGTTGAAAAGCCCCACGTGCCTGTAATTTCACCAGCACCCTAACCTTCAAAATCGAAACGCAATACTGGTTACATTACTGCATGGTGGCAGAAATAGGTAAGGTGGCAGTATTTCCATGCACGGACTCTTTCATAAGGAGATCTATTGCTACTAAACGCTACTCTATTTACTGCATGTAATATTCACCCCTAGTGGTCATAAAAGTATCTAGATTCTATAATTCGAGTATTCTACGAGTAGAGGTGCAATATACTTTAAGCAAACGATGATCTTAAAATCTCATTTATAACCAGATCTCGGATTAGCGTAGAATATATTTAACAACTTCAAGGAAGTAATAGAGATAGAGTTCAATCCCCTTGCAATTCCGGCATTATTGTATAATATTTTGTTCTATATTTTTCATGAGTGATCATTTAATTTTGAATGATGATAATGTTATGTTTTAGTGTTAGTTTGTGATGCATAAAATCCATTACGTAAGCTGCTAAGGTTTTTTAGTCAGAGGACAGCTCCTTGTGAAAGAGTTCATCAGAGAGTTAGTACTGCCACCTTACCTATTTCTGCCGCCAAGCAGTAATAGTCACATTACTGCGTTTCAGTTTTGAAGGTCAGAGTGCAAGTGAAATTACAGGCACGTAGGACTTTTCAGGATATGTCTCAGGGCGACGGGTGCATTGGCAGTGCCTGTCAGATCTTTGCGTCACCTGTTATAGGTTGCTTACCATCAGACACATGACTTGCTTGCTCCGTCATTTGGTATTCCAAAAAATATAGTGAGCTCTGAAGAGCTATAAAGTCACCAACCGATAATGAAGATAACAATGTGCGAGATTCCGGTTTTGAAGGGTAAGGCTGCTAGTGAAATTACAGGCACATGGGACTTGTCAACTTACGTCTCAGGGTTGCAGGCGCAGTGGCAGTGGCCCTCAGATCTTTGGGATTTAAAGCTCTGAGTGGCACTGCAACTGTTATGGACAGGCGTGTAGCTTACCACCAGACACACGACTTGTCCGTCTCGTCAATTAATACTATAAGAAAAAACTTTTACAAAGATAATAATAATGTGTCAAATAACCACACCAATACCAGGTCAACCCAAAACACCCAGACTAGGACCAATTTAGCAAAGTCCACTTTTCAAATGGGTCTTACCGAGAATCGAACCTAGGCCCTCCTCGTCCAGTTTCCACAGTGCAAACCGTTGGGTCACCGAGGTCGTCAAAAGGAGGAATATTATTGTTATTTACAAATGTCTTAAATATTATTGTTGTAAATAGTAACAGGTATATCAATACTTAATAATTCTTTTTCCCTACATGTCACATCTCTAGTATAACAATTCTACATTCAACTCTGTCACACACATAATAAGGGTTATGTAACAGACTAACAAATTAATTCGGCGCCGGATTAACGTCAGTCAAACTGGTTGATTGGTTTTATAGCAGATTAATTTAATTAGAATGATTGCAATTATAAGAAGGTTTTGTGGGTGTCTGTCAATGCCATATATTAGATACTTAGAGCGCTGTGGTAGTCTAGTTGGAGAACGGTGGCTTCTCAACTGAGTGGTCTTCGGTTCGAATCTGTATTGATGTATAATTTTTAATTTGTAGCAAAAATGATGAAAGAAAACATGTTTTTTTATGATACTAAGTGACAGGACGAACATATTGTGAGTCTGGTGGTAAGCGTCACGCCTGTCCATAACAGTTGCAGTGCCGCTCAAAGGGCACTGTCACTTCGCCCGTCAGAATAAGAGAATAAGTTGACAAGTCTCGTGTGCCTATGATTTCACCAGCACCCTTACCCTTCCAAACCGGAACGCAGTAATGCTCACATTACTGCTTGGCGGTGGACATAGGTAAGGTGGCAGTACTACCCTAGACGGAGTATATCACAAGGTGCTCTACTGTTACTAAAAATGGTAATGATACTTGTATTGATAAAGAATGTTTATAAGGTTTAAAAAGTTTGTAAAGTCCTCATTCCACGTTGATACAACGTGGTGAACTAGTCTAAGAAGAAACCTGTGCTCCGCAGTGGGACGTAAACAAAATTAGTAATTTGCCAAATCATAAAAATATGAAATCCGAAAACGTTTATAGGTACTGTGTGAAAATCTGTCTTTATGTTTTTGGATTTGTAAGTTGCTCTTGTAGTAAAAGTCGTCTGGGTTTACGTCCTGAACAGGTTCTTAAAAGGTTCTGTTACGTTTTATAAAACTCGCAAAAATCCATTTTACGAAAAAGTGATTTTTTGTGATATCAAATGACGGGACGAACAAGTTGCGCGCTTGGTGGTTTAAAAAAAAACAAGAATTTGCTCTGGACTACTACTTAGCTCTGAAGCAAAGGTAGGATTTAAGATGGAACGAGCTTGTCCAAAAGAAACCTACTCAGTCAGTTAAAGATACTTGGGTTGTATGTCGTCGGAAACACAGTCACAGGCAGGGAATTCCATTCCTAGGCTGTACGCATAATAAAAGATGATGAAAAGCGCTTAGTACGCCTGAAGGGAATATTGACCAAGTAAGGACTTTTCTGTAGAAAACCGACAAACAGGCTACTTTGCGCCAGTAGGTTAAACTATGAAGTTTAGATTCGATATTATCGTCGCCAATAAGTATCCTGGCACTGCGTTCAATCGAATAAAGAGTCTCAAGTTGATACCTCGCTGAGCCACCCCACAGATGAGTGCAATACTCCAGACTAGAGAGGTGGTAAGCGACACGCCTACCCATAACAATTGCCACTCAGAGCTTTCAATTGCAAAGATCTGAGAGGCACTGCCAACAAGCCTTTCACCCTAAGTTGACAAGTTCTACGTGCTCGTACATTCTCCAGCACTCTTCCAAGATAGAAGAAACACAAATTACCTGTCGTCGATAGCAGGTCTTGTCGACGCTGCGCATCATCATGACGCGCGTCTCCGGCGTGATGTTCGTCATTTTGTGCAAACTCGCCTTTTCACACATTAATACAAAGTTCACTTCACTTTGGGTACAAGAAAAGCATAATCAACCCTGAGGGGCACGGTTTTAGGTTTGGAGGTTTTCGGTTTTTTTAAGGAATATGTTTTGTAGGTTTCTTTAGGAGTTTTGTTTTTAAGAATTTCGAATGTCGATCGGTGTTCTTCTTGTCATTCGGATTGTGATGTTATATCTGTAACAAGGAGAAGAATTATTTAATAACATAAATGATTTTGATGTATGTGGTATTGACTGTAATACAGTAATATACATTATATTATGCATAATATAACGCGTATTAGAAACAACTTTAGGCATGGTTTTCATGAGGCGTGTTTTTAGGAGACGTTTTAAAAGGAATGTTTCTTAAATAAAGAACTATTGGAAAAAGTTTTTTTTTAAATATTTGGAATACCACTAACTCCGTTTTCTTACTTAATATGCTAAAAATATTTAAAAATTTGTCACGTAGTAAGACCGATCCGCTTAATAAACTAATTACAAGGTGGACCGACGACTTGTGGATAGTTGCAGGAACCCACATTTTTTTTCTATGATACCTGATGAGACGAACAAGTCGTGCCCCTGGTGGTAAGTGACACGCCTGTCCATAGAAATTGCAGTGCCATTCAGAGATTTAAACAGCAAAGGTCTAAAGGGCACCACAACTGCGCCCGTCACCCAGAGACATAAATTGACAAGAAACCGAAACTCGAAGAAACCGAACCGACGAACTGCTACTAACTGAACTAAAAAAATTACGTACTTACGTGACATCAACCGTTTATGCCATTTGGTTGTTGCAAAATATGCCAAAATTACTATTTGATAGAAAAACGATATATTAATTTATATATCGTACGCAATTAAAAAACATTATATAATTTTCTCAAAACTGTCACTATTGGAATTGTCATTTTGTTGTAGAAAGTGCTATTTTGTCTTACTAATAATGGTTCACGATTCAGTTAAATAAATATTCTAAATATTTAATGATATTCCTAAAATACCTTCAAAACAATCACCCAACTCTGACTTCTTGAATAGAAGAGTACTAATCACAAAAACGACACTTTCACTCTTGTCACAAATACACATGTCATTTCAATCAAGTCTTAAGAACTAATTAGATGTACTCGTATTGGACATTATATAACATCAGACAATAGTGAAAACATGATGTTTGTTTGTACACTGTACAAACAAGAAGCTAATCTGAATAAAAAAAAACAATAAGATAATAGATGCGGTAATTAAGAAAGAATGCGGATCATAATGAGAGAGTGAAGTATTTAGTAGCAGTCAGAACTCACCTATTTCCATTGCCAAACAGTAATGTGAAACTACAGACACACAGAACTTGTCAACTAATATCTCAGGGTGACGGGCACAATGCTCTTTAGATCTTTACGAATTAAAAGCTCTGAACGGCAATGCGACTGTTATATGCGGCAGCGTCGGTTACCACCAGGCGAATGTAAAAATAAAGATTAACTGTGCAACTCAAAAAACGCAACTCACAGCGTTACGCTTGTCTGGCCTCACCCTAAGTTGCACTGCATCTATGATGAATAGCGTGCCGTTTATTATCAAAAAGGAAACGGATACATTCTTTTGATCTATACTATACTTTAACCATACTGCACCTATGTCGCCACTCTATCATCCTAGAAAAAAATTTTCACCTAAAGTTGACGCACGTGTAACAAAACCAATACGAAAAGCTAGTTAAGTATTAGACACAAAAGGACGTATTTCGTTCTATTACAGCGACATCAGCAGTGTGGGCGTAAATTTGAGATGACACGTACATAATTGAATGGAGAACTTTCTTCCTGACGTAACTTAGACGTAAATAAGTAGGGAAGGTGCAATAAAGTTATGTACTAAAGGTAAACGTCTGGGTATGATGTATAATTTAACCGTGAAGATGGGTTTAGACTATCTAGTGCGTGGAGTCCGGTGCTCGGTGCTTACAATTATTTAAATAAAAATACGTTGACTTCAGTTTCGTGTGTGGATACAGTCAGCATGATATGTTGGAAAAAAGTGAGTGACAATGGTAACGCCAGAAGTAATCGAGAAGATAATCGTCGACAGCGAAAGTGGGTAGACAGACAATGTGTCTGTTCTTAAAGCTGTCATCTGCCGCTGGCCAGTCAACCCGGGAAGGGAAAATAAAATGAATCATATCGTGATAAGAAACCTGTAATTAGTGATAATCATTTCGACACATCCGTAGAACAAAGGCCTATGTGCAAGACTGCTTATTCTCAGAACATTCTATATTTCGCTATGGATATCAGATCGACTGGTGTTCGATTTTATATGTCCGAAACGAAATAAGATATAAAAATTATGGAAACACCTATAGATAGGCCTTACTTTAAATAACGTGATTACGTATTTATCATATTTTCGTTGTATAATCACATCAGACTCTGTTCTTTGGATGAGTCGATTTAGTGAATAGCCACGAAAGTCTTGAAATCTACGTCGTCTAGATCGTGAATGGAATTCATCGAGAAACGTGAAGCTTTAGAAACTAATTTTGAGTTTCAGAATAGCGTAGATCCTATGGAGTGACAACCTCGGTGACAGAGCGATTTACATTGAGCTAGATGAGCAGGTTCGATTTTCGGTAGAATTAATTTGGGACACTTTCCATCCTATATTTATCAGTTTGTCGTGTCATACGCTCTTGGTAAACGACGCGCTTACTGATGGCAGTTGCGCTGTCACTCAGTGCTTTATATCACAGTTCAATAAAAAGTTAAATACAATGATTAGCGACATCTCTAGCCGGGCTGGTAGCTGTAAAGGTATCTAACTGGGTGACGAAAATCATAGATTCCTCATAGGTGGCCAAAAAGTCGTTGAAAAACCAAATACAAAGATACGACGCAAGCACATACAAAAACTCGTGAGGTCCACCGGTTCGTTCCGCGGCTTAGTTGGTACAGCGTATGGCAAGGTAAGCTAGAAGACTTCGATTCGAATCCGGCCTGATCGAAGGTAATTTTTCTGAGTGTTCGATAATTATAACAAACTAGTGGAGTAATTTCACATAAAAATGTCAACTCAATAAAAATGTATGTCCCATGTGCCTGTAATTTCACCAGTCAGCACCATAGATATAGAAAAAATCTATGGTCAGCACCCTTGTGACGGTGTGACCTCCTTGCATCGTCATCCCACCTTTCTATCGCCTTTCTCCGGTTCCTGGTCACTCGTATTTAAATTTAAATTTTGAATAATTCCATTCTTTTGCCTCACATTCTGATTTTGTTTCGTTCGACGGAGCTGTTTAAATTCAATCGCGTCTAATTTTGATTATTTTACTAAGTTATAATCATAGTAATATGATCTAAATCATGCATCAATCTTAAAAAGTGTATAACAGTCTACAACCTTATCATGTACCTATGAATACGTATCTGTAATTCAGTATAACTCGGCCCTTTTTAGGGGTAAGTGTCTACTTAATAACTCTTTATATCCATCAAGTTAGGAAGTGTTTTATATTAATGTACCTGTTTTCCTATATATACTTTTTCTTGTTACAGCCCCTTACTCCTTATTTCTTTGTTACCATTTCTTCTTAACCCGACTTTTAATAAATTTGTGGACCGGAAGTTTTCTGTTTTACTGCCGCGAACCTGGTCACGGCTTGTTAGGGTACAACCCTTCCAAGTGGTGGCACCCTTACCCTTGGTAGTAGAGAAAGGTAAGGGCGTAGCTTGGAAATTAAAGTTATAGGTACATGCCGCCACAGGGATTGGAATCGTATACATCTAAATTGTAAAACAACCGTTCTCCAACTGCGCTAACATCGCTATTTAACATTTATACCGTGGAACCTTAATTTAGTGCTCTGTATATCTTCGTTACCCTGATAACTAAAGCTCATTTTTTTTTTTTTTTTTTTTTTTTTATTTTAAACACTAAGAATATTACAAAAATTTGCATTATCCAGTTCTATTTTATCCCATGGCTTTAATATAAAGTGAATCGCAGTGTTAAATTTCAATTGACCAATCACAAAGCTTTATTATCACGTGAAATGCAATCTGACCAATGACGTGGTTTCATTAATAACTGCTATTGGATTCCAAATTAGAAAATCTTATGCTATAAACACGAGTCGATGCTAGACAAAGGAGTATTTAAAAAGAAATTTGGAATTAGCATACTTTTACGCTAGTATTTGTAAAATAAATATAAAAATAACCCTTCAAAAATAATATAACAATTTTATAGGCACTTAAGCCACAAAACAATGCTCCTAAACCAAACATTAATTGTTTATTGTTTTAAAGGAAACACCCAATTAACAGAGAATAAACAAAATTGTTTATTATTAAACAGTCACGTGCTAGTGAAGGTTGATGAGTAACATCATCTCAGTCAGGTGTGGTCATGACACCTGTAAACAGCTCGAAACGTTGTATTGTTTGAAAAAAAAAAAACGATTCAGGTCCGAAAAAATAGCTTCATTTTCAAAAACAATTGGTAAATATTGGTTTTTATTTTATTACAGCATTAAGAGATGCAGATGCTAAAGGTATTTAGGAAATTAAACTATTTTTCTGGATTTAAATTGCGTATATTTGTTTTTTCAAACAAACCAACGTTTCGGGCCCTTGACAGGTCCCATGGTCACGCATTAATGTTAGACATAACTGATTGATGACGTTACCACCTCAGTCAATACGCGATTTAAATCCGGAAAAATAGTTTCATTTCCTTTGTGTAACAATCGCGAAAACCTAAGATCTCGATAGAAGTTACCCTTGTCAAATCGGAAAAAAAAACAGTTGTTTATGGTTAATCTGTGTGGAAGAGTTGACTATTCTCTGAGTATGGATTTACACTTAAGAAAAAAGTACTTATAGTGAAACAAAAACTTTAAACTTGGATAAATAAAATAAAAAATTAAGAGTAGACTGAATAGATGTTTTCTAGACCGTACCACCATTGCCATTAGTCTAGTTACCGGAAGAGAAGTGGGAAAAACTGATTTGCTAGATGAAATGGTGTTGGTTTTTGTCGACTGTGAGAAATCTATGAAACTTTTTCTTCACTCAATTTAAACTCAACTTAAACGATTTTTATTTTTATTTTTTTATTAAAACATAAGCACGTATTTGACTTCCATCTCACCTGATGATGGAAAGTAATGATGGTGTCGAC